TGTAAAAATTTTAAATTCTGAAATGATGAAAGAGATCATCAGTAAATTAAAAGAAAGGTACAGTCTAATAAAAAAAATTTATGACATATATGAATTTCTTGTCCTAATTCTAGGGCAGGAAAAATCTTCCTATAAATAAATAAATAAATAAATAAATAAATAAAAATAATCCATCCAGGGGACAAAGACCAGACTATGTAAAAATTTTAAATTCTGAAATGATGAAAGAGATCATCAGTAAATTAAAAGAAAGGTACAGTCTAATAAAAAAAATTTATGACATATATGAATGTTAAAAGTGTTTAAAATTTTTCACTATTTTAAATAATGCTGTAGTGAATGTCTTTTTACACATGTGCAAGTATTTCTGTATGGCAAATGTCTAGAAGTACAATTTCTATATGACAACATAGCTAGAAATACAACTAATGAATCAAAATCATCTATTTTAAATGTTTGATTGGTACCAACAAATTACCCTTCAAAATCACTGTACCAAATTACACTCTCACAATCTATGTGTAAGGGTAATCATTATACTTCTTTAAAAACATGGCATCGAAATTTAAAATATTTGTTGATAGTTACACAGTAATATGTATATGATTGAACTATATTTGGTAATGCTATACATAAATAAAAGCATGGGGGAAAAAAAAAAAGGTCATGGCTATCTCCAAGAGGAACTGGTGGGAGGGAGGCATATTGCTTCCAGACCTTTTTTTTTTCCTTTGCCTTTAAAAATTAAACATACAAGACTAAATAAATGGGCAGAACCAAAGTAAAAGCATTTAGTGTAAGTAATATTTACATACCATGGTAATGCTCTAATTATATGCTGGGAAACTGCCATACAGCAGACAGTGAGAAGAAAGTGAAAGAACTAATATTTGAGAACTTGATCTCAAGTAATCCTCACAACCAACCTGGTTAAGGACTATCACTGTCATTTTACAAATTAAAACACATACACAGAAAGGTTATGTGATTTTCTCAGATCACAAAAATAACGACAAAAATCCATGTTTGTCTAACCCCAAATTTCTATGCTTTCCCATGAACTTACTCTTGTCTTGGTAACCATGCTACAACAAAGAAAAGGCTACTGGTTATACAACTTCAAATTTCTTAACCTCTGTGGTGCTTTTAGACACTTGGGCAGCCTGGTTAATCCTATGGGTCCCCTTTTGAGAAACTGCTAACATATACACAAAATAAAATACACAGAATTACAAAGAAAGCCAATTATAACAAAATGCGGTTATAAAAATATTAAAAATTATGATATGCCAATATATATGCTAGCTTATTAATGCATTAAATAACAAGATCTGGCAGTGGTCTATTATAGTAATATTGAGGTGGTGATAAGTGCAGAGTATTTCAAAATATCTGCTAATAATTATAACATGACAGGAAAAGATCTATGATTTCTACTGTTGACAAAGTCATAGCATTGTCTTTTGCCTACATTCATAATTAAGGAAAATATAAAATATCGGCTAATGATTAGTGAAAATATAGAAAAACTTTCCCATCCATTTCAATCCATATTCCTTTAGGGAATCCATGGACACTAGAACAAACAAGACTGCCTGCTGGTACTATTATTTTGCTATAAGTGGCTGTCTTCTTTACAGGGACTTGCTACACAACAGAAGAAGAGAAAGGGAAAGAAAGAAGAGAAGGAAGGTAGAGAGGGAGGGAAGAAAAAAGGAAAGAAGGGAAAAAGCAAAGAATAAATGTCTAGGTAGGTGACCATTCAGATAAACAGGTATAGGTAGGATGTCCTGAAGTTGAAATTATCTATTTAGACCTAAAAAAATAACTGGTGGTCCATAAGCAAAATATTTGTTTCCATTATTTTTAAACTTTTCTAACAACAGTACAATATACTACCATCTGGAAATTAACATGGAAAAGAGTAAAGCCTTGTATTTTTTGAGAGTCTTTCTTTAATGTTTAAGTCCATTTGTAGCCATCACATGCAGTAAAAACAGTAAAGTAAGGAAAGGAGTAATGAGAGTATTACCAGTATTTGTGGCTTCAATATTATTACATACTATTATTTTGGCCTGTGTGGGTCTCAATACACATCCCAAGTAATCCTGAAAGACTGAACCCATAATACAAGGTTTATAATACCACCTCTGAACAACAAACATACTTATCCTTCTCTTTTCCTCCGCCAAATATGGGATGTAGTAAAACTCCACCAGTTTTTAGTTCATACGCCACTATTTTGTCTAGCTCCTAAAAAAGATAAAAATAGGAGTCAGTGAAAATTTCTTTATGTATCAAATTTTAGAACTGAACTGTGATTTCTCATTTCCTGAATCAAAATGTAAATTTCTTAAAATAAATTAGATGTATTTATAAAGTAGTTTATGTTCTTATAAACAAAACAGACTACACAGCTGGCTCAATAATACAGCCAAAAAGCCTTCTCTCCTTTGTGACTTCAGGGCTGGCCAGCAGCCTGCCAATTTTTCCTAATGGCTCTTCCCAACCTTCTCTGACCTGTGTTCCAAGTTCATTTGTTCCTTCTCTGCAGTTTGTTTCTGGTGGAGGATTTAGACAAGTAAAAAGAAATGGAGATAAAATTATGTCAGGAATCTACCCTTTTAAAACTTCTTCAGTCTTCTCTAATATGACATAGATCAAAGTGAAAAAAAAAGTTTAAGGGAAAAAAGGACAACAGAACTGTTTAAATAATATATAAGCAGTATAGAGAAGTGGTAAAAATCATAGTGAAGTGGTTAAAAACCAGGTTTGAATTCTGGCTCTACTACTTACTAGCTGTGTAACTTTGGTCAAATAATTTAACCTCTCTGTGCCTCAGTGTGTCATTTGTAAAATGGGGTGTAGTAACAGGGTAGTTAGGAAGATCAATACAGTTAATATTTGTAATATGTTTACAGTAGTTCCTGAAACACTGTAAGTGCTATATGCTATCTTTTCCCTTCATTAATAGTTTTTGAAATGAAGAATGGACTCTTCCAGTTTAGATGTATAAATTCTTTTATGGTTCTAGATGTTTGAAATCCTTCACAATTATTTTTTTGGCTTACTTGAGTTTACGTTTGGATGATGAAGATACATAAAATGAGAAAAGGGGAAGATGGAGGGGTCCATTTCATAAAGATATTAAAGGTTGAAATTTTTCCACTTGAGAAGGAAGGAGTTAAGCACAAGATGAGTAAAATGTATACGTACATGAACAGAAAGGGCTAGGCAAAATACAGTTGATTTTTTTTCTTTTTGGCCAAATCTTTAAATAATAGGAAAAAGACGTGACAATGACAGAGAACATAAATGCACTGAAGGACTAGCCAGCATATAATAAGCACTTACTATGTACAAGGCACCATGCACATCACATGTATGATGTCTTATAATCCCCATCTACTCTCCTTAAAAAGATGAGACTTAGAAAGATTAACCAAAGTCACAAAGCTTGTAAATGTATGAGGCAGACTGAAAAGCAATCTGACTCCAGAAGCTGGGTTCTAAGTCTAAACAAATTTAGGAAGCATAGAGTTATATTATGAATGACTACTACAAGGAGCTTGGATATATCTAACGACTAATTTGATGTTGAAGGAGCTGAAATACTCTCTTGCTTATTAGCAAAAAAGTCTTTGGAAGTCAACACTGACAATGGAACTAGATAAAACAGAGCATTAGTCTTTCTCAGTAAAGAGATTTTCATTTTGCTGGGATTTTCATTTTGCTGGGAAAAATTAGACACTTTCAAATGACAGTATTTTACAATTATGAAAAGTAAAGGACAAGTGACTTGTGAATCAGGAGAACACTAACATGTCCTGTTGACTTCTAAATGGGTAATGGATCTGGCTGTTTTTACCTCTTTAATCCAATGGCGGTATTCATTAACACCAAAAGTTTTTTTCATCCAAAGTCCATAAATATAGCCAGAAATTCCCTTTAGTACCCATTCATCAGACCTATGCAAAAAGTCAAAATATATTCTTTTAATCATAAAAATTCCCTTAAGCATAAAAAATTTAATCATAAAAATTTTTAGATAAGGCCAAAGAGGGTAAGAGAACACATTATTAGTGTGTGCTTTTATGCATTCTTAAAATAAATGAAAAATAATTTAAAAAATGTATTAACAAAATATTTGGTTTAACCACTTCCAATGAGTTCTACTTACCATTACACCTTCCTCACATCTGCTTTCCAGTCTTATTTCAAGTAATGTCCCTATGTTTGCGCTGCTTCCTTCCCGGCCAACTCTGTCCATACTGTCTGTATCCAAGGAAATATGTGCCCAAAGCCAGGACTGTACTGCTCAATTTTTAAAGTTCACATTTGCCAATCCCATGAATAATTATCAATGGGATTCCAAGATCTAATGTTTAATTACTTATTTTTGGTTTTTTAAGAGGAAAGGGAATTAATACCATTCATTCATCTATTCATTCATATACTTATCCATTCATTCATTCATTTATTCAAACATGTTGCCTACCATTTTCCAGGCACTGTTCTTCACTGAAACTATGTTATTCTGGAAAAATTACAAATCAAGAGGACTTACCCTCTGCCAACAAAAAAGAAAAAGAAACCAACAGATATTCATGTACTACATATAGCACAGAATGGTCACAAAAATAAATTATAATCTTAAGGGAGTTTCATGTATTTCTTCGAATTCATCTCAAGTTAATCAAAAAAATTAAGTGTTCTTATCTCTTACTTATTTCAAGTATTATTAGTACAAAGTTAAACACTAACAGGAAAATCCCTACATCATTATCACTATTGTAGAAGACTATTATTTTGCCTTACACATGATCTTGAACATTACCAGTTACACTGAACATTGACATTAGAATTCTAACTGCAGTTTTCTGCACATTCAATGCCTTGTATCTACAGTATTCATTCAGTTTTCTAAGAAATTGTTGTTATCAAAATTCTTTAAAAAAAAAATAGAACTACAGTGAATTGATAGCCACAAATCTGGATGAAATTTATACTCATTACTTTTCTCTAAATATACAGAGAGAAAAGAAAATACAGGAAAAGAAAACAAAAACAAACTTTCCCAATTCTTTATCTCAGTAGTTGCAAACTATGAAATTACTCACCAAGACATTCTGGATATGAAACAACCAAAAAACTGCTGTGCCAAGGACTGGGCTAAACACCTTCTAGTCAGAGGTGTCTCATCTATAATCATGGCACTATGTAACAGATTTGTGCTGGAATTTAAAAGAAGAGACAATTATAACCAAGAAATAAACAATGATTCAATCAAAATAAAATAATCACACTTTTAAAATAAGGGAATTCCAATTTGACATAAAAGAGAAAAAACAGAACATTCTTCCAAAAGCTTTCACATCTTTTCAAAATTTAGGTGAAATCCATAATCTTAATTAACTTTTGCCTAAAGTAAGGACTTTAGTGTTTCCCATTGATTTCCGTGAAAAATTTAAGTACCTTTTTCTGGAGGAAGGGGAAATTACCATTAGCCTGAAATGGGTATGTTCATCAGAAACTGATCCTCCTATGAAGGGCTCTTCTAATTTCAAAAACCTTTTGCCAATAATAACTATTAATTATTTTTTTAAGATTTTATTTGAGAGAGAGAGAGAATGTACAAGCAGGGGCAGAGGGAGAGGGAGAGGGAAAAGCAGACTCCCCTGTTAAGCAGGGAGCCCGATGCAGGGCTCAATCCCAAGACCCTGGGATCACAGCCCGAGCCGAAGGCAGATGCTTAACCGACTGAGCCACCCAGGCGCCCCCAATTTTTTTTTTTTTTTTTAAGTAAGCTCTACACACAATGCAGGCTTGAACTCACACCTCAAGATCAAGAGTCACATGTGCTACCAACTGAGCCAGGCAGGCACCCCTATGAATTTTTTGTGCTCCATTGTTTACTTTCAAATACACTGACCCATAAGATCTTTCTAACATACTCTAGAGAATACAGGGGCAATAGTATTATTCCTCTTTTACAGATGAAAAAATTTAGGCCAGAAAGGATAAAATGATTGAACCTAAGGCATAAAATTTATAAATCTGGAACTTTCCAAGGAAAGAAAGAAGGTAAGGCAGGAAGAGAAAGAAAAAAATGAAGTTTTCTCTCTTTTATAATTGGCAAAGAAATTTCTGACATCAGTAAAATTTTAAATGATTTAGGGAAAAAAAAAAAAAACCCATTAGACGTCCATTATATAACTTGTATGATTTTTGTTAAATGCATAAGCAGAAGAGACTAAAAAAAAATCTGTAAAACATCTCTATCAGTTATATCTGGATGAAAGTAACAGAAGTGTTTTGGGTCACTTGGAAATTTTCTTTTTTATGTTTTTCTACATTTTGAATTTTTAAAACATTAGCTTTTCTACAAAACCAACCATATTTAATTTAAAGGAAAAAACTTTGAAACATATCTTAAAATTAATCACAAAATAACCTGTCTTCCCATCATTACCCTCATTTGGGCATTTCAAATCTTAAATACCAACCTAAAAATGCTCATGGAAGCATAAGCAGCCACTTCAACATAAGCCTCATCAATGAATACAGTCTTAAAACAGGAATATGGGTATCGACATGTAAGAATTTCTTCATAAAATTCAAAAACTTCATGAAGATAAGATGTAGTATGTTTAAGCAATGGAAGAAGTTGAGGTAAACAAAAATGAGTAACCTGAAAATAAAAAGCAGGGAAGAAAGTCATTAAAAGAAAATGTTACCTTTAGTATTTTAAATTTCCTAAATGTCTCAATTATAAGGAAAACTTCATTCATATAAATCCTTTTAACAAATTCATGGCAATGAGGGAAAATGCTAGTGTGATATTAGTGATTTCTTTTACTATGTTTATAAAATATTCATTGTACTTGAAAATTAAATTCATGATGGATTATAAATCTGTGAAATGCTTAGACCCAATGAAAATACAACTTTGGTTCCAAATTAAAATGCCTTTTGCATAAGCATATAAAACAAGAAAGATTTAAATTTCCAAGGCTTATTACAAATCCACCTTTGATTCATAAATATCTTACCTAGTGAATACTGTACTTGTCATAGTCCTATGCATCCTACTTTGGACATGGCCACTCAAATATAACATATCATCTCATCCCATATTATGATTCTGTACCAAATAAATGGCATCAACAATGACAGAGATCACTCTGTTTAGAAGGACCTAGAGTAAGGTTTCATGCTGGAGATTAAATCTGAGCTAATCTTTTTGAATTGGACAAAAGTTTGATAGGAATGAAGAGGGAAAGAGAACATCTCAAACAAAGTCAAAACAGAAATATGGTATGGTCAGGAGAAGCTAAGTAACTATATCAAATATAACAAACAAACAGGAAAGTAATGGAGAAAAAAGCTCGAAAGGAAAATTAGGGCCAAATTCTAGATGATCCTGAAAGTCATATTAAAGAGTTCTGATTGTTGCAGGATTGTGGAGGCAAGGAAAGTTTTTAACGTATGATAAGAATTATTCTTCTAACAGTGTTAGAACAGGTTAGAGACTAACATACATGAGTGATGGGGATCTATGTATGATTAATAATCAAGGGCCCGAAGTGCATCATAATTAGCACTCCTCTTGATACACAAACAAAACCCAAAATACTATTCATCAGAAAAAGATTCATGTTTAGAAAAACCTACATGACAACAAATCTGATAATAAAGTAAAAACTATCTACTTGAGACAGAGAAAGACTAAGTGGGCTCTAAGTATTCAAGTAAAATACTTCTTAACTATCATTTACCTTTCTCCCATCCAATAGCTTGGAGTGGGGAAAAAAAAATCTTCCAAAATACAAAGTAGGTACTAATCAAATGTTGATTTAACAGCTAACCACTTACCAAAGATAATAAAATTCTCTGCCAATCTTATCAGCGAATATACTTTTAAGAGTCATTATCAAGCCAGCAAAAGCAAAACCATTCGTAAGATATCCTGAATATTTTCCATAAGTGACTTTATAAATCTTGTGAATTTCAGGAAAGCAAATATAAGAACAGACTGAGGAGCTTACTGGGTATCGACTAAACCTAATTGCCCTCAATTTTTGCTCACATAACAGAAATACCATTGAGACATACATGGTTACATGTATATCTTAGCTTTAAACTAAGAAATAAAAAATCTAAAATTGAAAATGTTAGGGACCATGAGTAAATAAAAAGAGATTCATTCAAATGTTACTTTAAACAGGTACAGAAGTAGAGAGGGTCAATAACCAATACATCACTTCCTAAACACCAGAAGTCTCATCCTTAGGGAGGCCTGTAAGCACTAATTGGTCTGCCAATTAATATACGATTTATGGCAAGATATGGGATGGAAGAAAACTGCAAGAAGCCTTCATGAGTGTGCTGACTAGAATTCTAAACTCAGCTTCAGCCTTATCTTTCTTCCTCTGTATATGCTGAAGTGAGAACAAATCTTGTTCTTTAATTGTGAAATTGTAATATTTCAGATTCCAGAGATGGGACTATAACATTCATAAACATATGCCAAACAAAAAGAGGACACTAATGCAAAGTATTTACATAAATCAACTCATATTCTAATCAAGGTACACTTGAAACTCCTTTGGAACTCCAAGCTCTCTGTTGAAAAAAAATTTAAAACTTTAATATAACATTTTGAAAGGAATTCAAGAATTCAAATCATTAAATATATCAGATAAGGAATCCTTTTCTCTCTAGTGATATTCTGGATAATTGAAAGAAGAGTTAGGAAAAACTCAGTATTTCATTACTATCCTTCCTTTTATCAGGGGTGAAAGGCTGGGAGGAGAAAGGAGCAAGAAGCTATGACTTACCTCATGCATATATGGATCTACAAGTATTTCAAAAGGTCCAATGGCCAAAGAGATATTTGATGCAGCTGTTGGAATGGTAAGCATGTAATGGAAGGTCTTCTTCCTCATATCATGGGTATACACTGTCTCCACCAAATCTCCATTGGAAACAGCCACCATTGCAGCATCTACTGTAAATTCTAATTTCCATGTACATAATTCAGAGTATGAATCAACACACGGGAACCAAAATCTAGGAAAAAATATCAACAGCATAAAAAAAAAAATAGTGAAAGTGTAACCTACGGTTGTTTCCCCCACTTATAAGTTATTCTAACGTTTACAGAATATGTGCGAAAAGAAACTTCAGCTATTTGCCTACTGAAGCTTTTTACTGTGTAACTTGAAAGAATCTGATTAAAGATAGAAACTTTTCGCCAAATATTATTTGGCAATATGAAGAAAATATATCGTACGATACTGCCAGTTCAAATACTCAAAAAAGAGATAAGCAATTCTTAGCTTTGAATTTTTAACTTAAAAATTATTTTCACTTGCATATTCATAATAGTCAGTTTTTATGCAGTACTCATTTCCAGAAACTAAAAAACCTTATAATAAAGTTTAAAAGAACCAAATATTCAGAATCTGATCCATAAGTTAGAGAATTGTTTTGGAGAACGGGATGCACTGTATTAATTCAAATAGTGCTAGTAAAGCCAGACCTAATATTTCTCAAACACTTTCCTTCAAGATCAGGTTTTACTACCTGCCAGGGTCTGTACCTGATACTGTAACACAAAGAAGTATAAGACATCATCCTTGGCTTGAAAGAGTTAATAATCTGAAGAATATTAATAACAATCTGAAGAGACTATGCATACTATAATATTTCAATAACACAGAGTGAGCTATTGAGCTCTGGAAATGAACTACATTTATACACAACAATGAAGGTAAATCTCACTACCATACTGTTAAACTTTTTTGTTCAGATATAAAGAGCATAATGCATAATTTCCATTCATATAAAGTTCAAAAGCAGGTGTAATTAAGCTGTGGTATTTTAGAAATCAGAACAGTGGTTAACCTTGGACAGGAGGACATCAGATGAGCAAGTAGTGAATGGAAATGGGTAGAAGGGGGGATTCTACAATGCTGGTGATGTTCTTTTTCTTGATGTGTGAATTACATAGGTTTGTTCACTTGTGAAAATTCAGTGAACTTTTACTTATAGTTTGTGTAATTTTCTGTATGCTATTTTACTTCAGTATAAAGTTAAAAAATAAAGAATTGAAATGATTTTAGAAGTCTCTTTTCCGAGAAGGAAAGAGAAAAGGAAAAACAGGACTGAGAAGGAATGACTAGTGGAACAAGAATCAGAAGAGGTAAATCTGAGGATCAAGCTCACACTTCTCATTTTACACTAAACACATGTATTGCATATACACAGAAAAAATGCAACTGAAAAATGAAATTAACTGAAATATATAAGAATAATCTACCTTGTGGAATTTTGATACCCACAAGAGAAAACGTGAGCACCTCTCTCTGCCATACTTCCCTCAACACTGGGTACCACAAAATGAAGACCTCCTTTTGGCTGATCCAAAGAAAAATTGATGTGTATCTTTAGGACCTTTAATTCTGCAACAAATAAATATATACATACATTGATATATAAATATATAATTGAGTAACAGTGGTCTATATAATAAGGGCAAAGACTTACACTAAACATAAAATGGGAATCAAAGCTCAATTTTAAATGAAAAACTGTACTTCTTACCCTCGTTTAGGCTCTCACCTTCTCTCCACAATAGCCTGCCTCCACTGATGTCCTTACTTCCACTCAATTCTAGTCACTGCTAGCTGTGTTCTCCCAAAATATGGCTCAAGTCATGCCCTATCCTCCTCCCAACATTTCTGACAATGCTATACTGCCTAAAGAAAAAAGTTCAAAACTAGATTCAATGCAAAACCTGAAAAATAAGGACTTAAAAAGCCTCCCAGATTGTTAATCCTAGTTGACTTTGGAGAGTAGGAAGAAGGGGTGAGTGGGAAAAGCTACCTGAGAATTTATATAATGCATTATTTATTATGTTATCTTTGATTTCTCCATAACAAATACATGTTGCTTTCATAAGATTAAAAGGTTTCTTTTAATTTCCCTCAAAACACTACAACCATATGGACTATCTCCAATTCCTGAACGTGGAATGATAGCCTTCTACGCCTGTCCCCTAAATTGGGCAACTCCCCTCAAGAAAAATCCCCCCCAAACACATAAACTCTTAAAAAAAAATGCAAAAGCAAAACAAAAAGTCCTTTACTTCTTTATCGTGGTTATAGGCTAAATAAAGATAGGCAAGTTATATATAGTAATTATAATGGCTGTGACTTTATACAAGAGAAAATGAAGGTTTAGAAATAATAAGACAGTGTGTGCTCAAAAGTGCAGAACACAGAACCCTATGTTCTAGCACTGACTCAACTACTAATTAGTGACCTTCAATAGGTCACTCACTGTCTGGACTTCAGATTACTCTTCTATAAAAGGAAGGAATTGAACCAGGTGATTTTTTCGGATTCTTCCTGCTATGAAATGCTGTAATTCTAAACTGCTTTGACACTGCATGGGTTCTCAACTCTTGACAAATTGTTCCAACCATCCAATTTTTTTTTATAACTTTCACTTTAAAAACAACAGTGAATGGGTTGTTTTGTCACAGCCCTTAATTGCTATTTTCTTATTAACCAGTGATTCTTAAGAAAAAAAAGAGCTTCCAACTTCTGTATATTTCAACTTAATAATTTATAATTACAACATTAATGTTCATGTAAAAGTTTTCAGTCACTGAGTCTAACATGATTTTACTGCGCAGTCAATGTATTTTTGGTATTTTACCATCAATGTGTTTCCATAACTCTGATGGAACCTTAATGCAAAGTTCTCCATTTCCTGCATCAGGATCCACAGCACTAACTGCAGCTGCATAAGCATTGGAAAAATAATTTAGATTTCTCCTGGAAAAAAAAACAAAAAAAGAGCCTGTTTTAATAAGCCAAACATTTCACCAACTATTTTCTTAAATATTTGGTAGCATTTGTTAAGTATTATATCATTTCATGTAATCTACGAGAATATTTTTAGCCAAGTAACTATTACTCTACCTACCCATCATGATGAAACCTATTAAATAATAAATACAACGTCATATATAGTCTACTTGCCAATGTTATGGAATTATTAGGATTATCATATCCTTCATTAATTTTGGAATGCCAAAGCCACCATACCTTCCTGAAAGAAGTGAAAAGAATATATGTAGAATTATTAATAATTAATGAATAATTATTCTTTATCTGGCAAAAATTTCAATGGATTCACAGCTCTACGATCTGACAGAAATTAAGATGTTTAAAACAAGTTAGGATGGGTATCAAGCCCTTAAAATGTAATACTGCTTACCTTCACTCACAAGTGCCTGACAATATAAGCTTAAGGAAGGAGGGAAACTTTTGGCTGCTTCACTGTTTTATCTCCTATATGCCAGGGGGCTACTCAATATTTGTTCAATAGTTACTTAGCCTTATTTCCCATTAGATGAAAACAACACAGAGAAGTCTTATGGAAACATTAAAACATTGTTCCCATCCAATTTCTATTTCACTAAAAACAATATATATGTGTGTAATTCACTAAATATACTCACACACACACACACACATATATATATAAGTACACACACACACAGATCTCCTTCCATTTACAATGGGGGTATGTCCCAATAAACCCATCATAAATTGAAAATAATTCTAAGTTGAAATGCATTTAATACACCTAACCTACCAAAATATCATAGCTTAGCCTAGCCTACCATAAATGTATTCAGTACACTTTCAGTAGCTTACCACTGGGCAAAATCATCTAACACAAAGCCTATCTTATAATAAAGTGTTGAGCATCTCAAGTAATTTATTGAGTACTATACCAAAAGTGAAAGCTAGAATGGTTGTATGGATAAGAATGGTTCTAAGTATATAGATTGTTTAGCCTCGTGATCACATGGCTGACTGGGAGCTGCGGCTCACCGCACAGCTCAACATAGGTACCACATATTGCTAACCCAGGAAAGTAATCAAAATTCAAAGTATGGTTTCTACTTATCACCACCTTTGCGCAATCATAAAGTTAAAAAACCACTAAGTCAAACCGTCCTAAGTTGGGGACCATCGTACACATATTACATTTCCTCACTGAAATCAGTTAAAGGAATACTGACAAAATGGATAAAAGAAAAAAGACAAGGAATGATATAACAAGAAAATGAGATGAAAGACAACCCCATGAGCCATATTCTTGTTGTGCACCTTTAGGTTTATCATTCTGCCATTAGATGAATCCACAAAGTAAAGTTAGTTACATTGCACTAGCTTAAAAAAATTTTAACTAGTTAAAAGACAAAATTCATATACTGTACAGAGTGATTATAAGAAAAATAAAATGGGAAAAGCCATTAAAGAAAACATTAAACTTATACACTCTGAACCTGACAGAGGCCATCCCTCTCCCATTTCCATCTCTCTGCTAACTAGGAAGGATGTATTAACTATAGCTTTTAACCACTACACAACATGACCTTCTGGAAGCACTTAAACAGACTTCTCAATAATTTTAACTATTTCGGGACACCTGGGTGGCTCAGTTAGTTTAGTGTCTGCCTTTGGCTCAGGTCATGATCCCAGGGTCCTGGGATCAAGTACCGCATCAGGCTCCCTGCTCAGTGGGGAGCCTGCTTCTCCCTCTCCCACTCCCCTGCTTGTGCACTTGCTCGCCCTCTCTGACAAATAAATAAAATCTTAAAAAATAATAATAATAATTTTAACTATTTCTTCCTGTCAGATAAATATGGAAAATGTGTAAAAACTATAGGATCACACTAAAATGAATAAATCTGTGTTTTCACATACCATCTATTTTTTTAAAATATCATACAACAAAAGCAACTCTTTTTCCTTTGGTATATAGTTCTGTAAATTCTTACACCTTTGTAACCACTACCACAATCAGGATATAGAACAGGTCCATCATCCCGAAGAGTACCTTGTGCTATGCCTTGTGTCAAATAAATGGGAGTCATACAGAAAGCAACCCTGTGAGGCTGGCTTGTCTCACTCAGTATGTCTTTGAAATTCACCTCAGGCATTACATGTATCAATAGTTTGTTCCTTTCTACACTGAATAGTATTTCATGGTATAGACTGGACCACAGATTATTTATTGTTTGTTCATTCAGCCACTGAAGAACATGTGGGTTGTTTCCAGCTTTTGGCTATCACAAATAAAACTGCTATAAACAACTGTATATTGTTTTTCATGTGAATTTAATTTTCATTTTTGTAATACAAAATACCCAAGAGTGGGACTGCTGAGTCAGATGGTAAAATATGTTTAGCTTTGTACGAATATGCCAAACTGTTTTCCAGAATGGCTATACCATTCCACATTCCCACCAACAATATATAAAAGTGCCAGCTGCTTCACATTCTTGCCAGCACTTAGTTAACATACCATCTAATTTTAAAGGCTACTTTGTATATCTAGAGATTGTAATTTCTTTTCAATAAAATTTCAAAAACATGAAATATGAAAGATAGTTGAAGAAACCTGTAATTTCCCCCCCAGTTATCTGTGAAATTCAGAATTCTCAGAAATTCTGAGAAATCAGAGAATATTCAAAGGGTGAGAATGGTAACAAATTTGGAAAGAGTTTTAGATGAGGAAAGGTTTAAAGTATTGAGATTCTGTACACTGGA